ATAAGATAATTAATTCTCTCCGTTAAAACGAAAGTGAAAGAGAAAGTAAAGTCTCTGTAACAAATTTGCTGTTGTAAGAAAAAAGACTGAGTATGCAACATCCAGAATAATGTAGACAAAAATGCTATAAATCCCTTGTTTGAAACAACAAATAATAACGACAACTTCGTTGATAAAAATGCTAAACGTTTAATATTCACGAAAACGAAAGTAAGCATAAAATCTCAAAAGCAACCCACCGAATTTTCTGAGCTTATGATATAATAAACGATTAATAATTTGAATCTAGACAACACTGAATTACTTGTCATGTTTAGTAAACCTAAAAAGTAGAATATCATGAATATGTCGAAATCTAAAAATACTTTAATGCACTTCCGTGAATTAAAAAGCTTACTTCCAGTAAAGAGAGAAGTCTTTTCAAATGGAATTAAAATAAAAATTATGTAAGAGAGATATCTCTTTGCTATATAGTGATATATCTTTTTGCTAGAGATATCTCTTTAAGACACTTTTGAAAAATGTTTCTTTCACTTTGAGAGATATCTCATAAGATAAACTATTCAGAGATATCTTTTTTCCCGAAAGACATACCTCTCAAAGAGAAAAAGATATCTGTTCAAATGGAAGAGATATCTCTTTCATAAAAAGAGATATCTCTCTAAGCTTAAGAGATATCTCTTTCTCATAGAGATATCTCTTTAAAATGAAAGATATCTCTTCAAGTTGGAAGATATCTCTATTTTTTAAGAGATATTTCTTAAATGAGAGATATCTCTGTAATTTTAAGATAAATTTTATTTTCCGAATAAATAGCAAAAGGGCTTGCCATAGGTACCTCTCGTCAAAGTTGCAATGCCTATTCAACTTCATGGCAAAATTGATTTAGGTATAATAATAGTTTTAACTTTCTATTTACAATGAAAGCTATAAAGTTCATAAAAGTATACAAATGCAGTGATAAATCAATAAAAAAAAACTCAACACTATTTACATTCTCTGAAAAGCGAGTGATCAATAACTTTAAAATCAGAATTTATCACTACTGTGGACAACCTATGGAATGTCTAATATCTGCTCATGCTTTACTACGAGGTACCCAGCCCATCCAATTAAACAGTTAGTGATGTATTTAGGCTTGCCATGTTCGCACTGCCCCGACATACTGTCGGCATATCGGACATTTCCTCGGGGCCAAAGCACAGTCTGGATAACAATAGAGATGACCACAAGGAAACATACCGATAGAGGCCTTGTTCTGAGGAGAATTTTTACTGATACGGATATATACACTATTTTTACCGTTTAATCAAAGAATATATATTATGAGCAGATTCTGTATATGTCACAGAATCAGATTTTGCTTTTAAACTCCAAATGTCTCTCTGAATCACTCTGATGTAGGAGTGCATGAGTTTTAAATTGAACAGTCGATATCGATTTCCCACTCAAAATACGAGTTGTAAATGGTGTTTCTATAGCGCTGATGTGTTTTCCTTACTCGACAGGATGACATCCACTATGTTCTCCCTAGAGATTTCTCCCTCATGTTTTGCGAGTTTCGAAAATGGTCTCAGGTCGCCTATGATATTTACTTGTTTAAAGTATCAAGGATTTATTCTTTAATTCTGTATCTTGTGTTCAATGGAGTTTGTCGTATTAAAAGCATGTATTAAACATTCAAATTAATTATTTATATAATTAAGTAACAGCTTTTTAAAAAGCTTGCCTGACTAAATCAATCAATATCTGCATGAGGAGTGATAAACCTTTTGAGCAATACTTCCGTTTTTGCGAACCTTGCGGGAATGAAATTTTGATTTTATTTAGCTTTTAGAAGAATCATCTCTACACTGCATACTAAAGAGTTGTGATTCTGTGGGGGTTTTCTGCAAGTGGAGTGATCTGTTTTTGGATTTCGAACTTCTTTTTAACACTTATAAAATCTGTCACCAAATCATGCATTGTCAACATTCTAAAAGATGGATATAATATGATTTATTTTGATAAAAGTATTCATTCACTTTTAAGAGCATGTAAATTTTGGTTTTGCTGATTCTTAATTTTAACAGATGAATAAAGTGCGTTGTTATGACAAACAAGGAGGCCTCTTCGAAAATATTGAAATGTATGACCCTTTGGTCGGGGGTGATGAAAGGCTTTGTTGATTTTTTAAATAAAAAAATAATGGATTTATTCTTTGAATACTCCTTCCGCAGATAATCAAAAACTCAGTGCGTTAGTATGTTGCCTGTACAAAAAATTGGCAAATTCTTTTATTTGTGACCTAGGTAGTAGGATTTGTTAACAAAAGAGTAACTGGATTAATATTTTCAATGTTCATTTTATTTTCATCTTTTTTTTTAACTAAGGAATTTTATAATAATTGATCTACTTAAAAACAATCCTTTTGAAAGAAGAAAATCATTTCGTCTTAATATTAAGAGCAAATTGAAAAAAGCTATAAATGTGTCTTTATGTGAAAAAATAAATCTGTTATGAATTTTACATTTTTAACCTATGACCTTGAACTTGCTGAATGATTTGTGCGGATCATGACTCACCCTGGGAACTTTGAAATTGAAATCAGATTATAGGGTTCATCAAATGATAACAACCAGTAAACTATGTGTCTTAATTACAAGTTATTTTGTAAAATGTGACCCTGGTATATAAAATCTAACAGTATATTAAAGTTCATATTCTATATCCAATCCAAGTTCTGCTATATCAGGTCCAAATGTCTGATCAAAAGCCTCGTTTGCAGCCACGGTGAAGTGGTTTTTCCAGTCTCGTACCCCACCTATGGAAGAATTAAAAGAACATAAAATATAGCATAGCAGCTATGAATGGTAATTTGTACAAAAAATAAACATGTATTAATGGTTTTTTTGAACAAATGATTTCCAAACCCTTGTCATTGTTTGCTCTAAATAGAAGGTGTTCTTGTTCCTTTCAAAATTCCAGATTACCCTGTCTTTTAGACAAACACGAGCATATTAAAAATGAATATTCTAATATATTTTACTTCATTTGAATAAAATGGCTCAGTTCTTATAGATAGTTTTCGACTGACCAAAATTTAGCATGAGTTATTTCCCGTTGGCCGCCATATTGGAGGTCCAAATGCTCATATTCCTTCAATGCTCAACCAATTTTAAATTTTTATATTTGCTATTTTCAATAAGGAATCATTATTTTTTTTAAGTATATAAATTTTTGTAAGCCTCCTTTATTTAAAATAAAGTTATTTAATAAAGATTTTCTACCAAATATATCTGCTACATTCTCTTAAACTTTGTAAGAAAAAAGAGAAAAAATCCCCGAGCTGATCTCCAATATGGTGGCCAACGGAAAGTGACTCTTGCTAAACTCAGGTCTATTGAAAACTATGTATAGAAAAGAATATCTACATGCAAAAAGCCAATAAAAATCGAATAGTGATAAAAAAAAAATAAAATGCTTATTTGAGCATCAGATTAGAGGGAAAAAACCAAACCTTTACTGTAGAAAAATATGCGAATTTTCTTTCCTTGTTATTTTTGGCATGCCCTTCGGTATATTTGAATTTTTATGTGTAGACATGCTGTCAAAATTGCACTTCCTGGCTATTTCTTCGATCAGTTCTGGAGAAGAATCAAGATCAAGAAAATCTGATACTTCTTGAACAGTCTTCTTTAGATTCTGCAAGATAAATAAAAACATACTTTAAAAAAAATAAAATTTAGGAATAACTATCTTTTCATTTGTGATCTTTCGTGGCCGTTAAAAAGAAATCAATGTCGCAAATATTTGTTTTTCGTTTGACTGGTGGCATTTATAAGAACATTATAATTTTAGATTAAGCATTTGAGTACTTAACGTATCATATTTTAGCTCTTTATGCCAGGAACAAAAAATAGCTAGGATATTTTTTAGTGTGTTTTTAATTAATTTTAGGGAGGAGAGTATTACACTTTCAATCTAACGCACAGAAATGAATTTTTTTTGCGATACTTATATTTATTGATATGTTTTTCGCTCATCTTTCAATGATGTTTTACTCGTTAAATATAGATACATGTATACCCTTTTCATGCCTTCGTACGATATCTCCAAAAGTGGATAATCAGGATTATCTTTCTGAAATGTTTTCCATTCCTTTATCCAGTTGATCCAACCTCCACATGGAACTAGAAAAAAGGGGTATAAAATTCTGCAGCCATTTTTATGGTGAAAAAATAGTTTTATGAATTACCAAAGGAATTTTTTAAGATTGTGTTTTATTTTTGGCCTAGTTTTATATAAATCTACGATTTATCTTTACAAATCTCAGATTAATACCTTCTTCACTGACGAAATGTTTCAAAAATTCTGGAAAACACATATCTTCTGTATGGTAAAACGCCATTTTTTTTGGAGAAGTTAAAATATGACACTGCAACGTCCTTTGGATTCCGGTATATGTGGATGATCTTGCACCGTTTCTGTAACAAATGCTTCGGCAGGTGTCGTGGATACATATGTGAAGTGTACACACCTTTCTTACTGTGTGCGGCTTCTATTTCCTTCCTTGGGCTGTTTTCAAAGATTGGTACCATATCGTCCATATATTTCGAACTTCCATTCTTTAACATGTTACATATCTCGTGCGTCCAGTGTGTACCTGAATTTTTTTTATTGTGGTTTAAACAAAAACTTGATAGGAATTTGGAATTTATAAATTGCTTAAGGCCTGTGACTTCATGTCACGTATTGACCCATGGCCTGTGAAAAACTTCATACAGATATGAAGATATTTGCTCTGCATATTCCTATAATAAAGTGATACCACAAATGTATACGAGTATATATTAAAATATAATGCAATTCACAGGAATCTTAACTAACTGAACATTTATTAGAATATCTCTATTCAAACTTTATTTTATAATAAAAAATAAACTTAACGAAGAACTTAATAACTAAATGATTAACTAGATTTTTGTTTTTTCTTTCTGGTCTCTTATAAGTCAACAAACCTGATTTTGGATACGAAACTATGCACATTTCGCCATCTTCAAAAGTGAGCTCATTTAGGCCAGCAAGGTATTTAGAAACATCAACATCCAGTTGTGCCCCAAGATAGTTAGGAAAATAATATCCGTCATAGTCCAGTACATCTGCGAACGATTTTCCTTTATCATTCAATAAATGCTTCATTTCTAATGAACAGATAATCGAGAAAATATAACAGAGAGACAGAAAGTTAATAAATTAAAAGACCTATATGTCATGACTTTTCATCTCATGCAATAAAGTGATGTGTGTGGAGATAACGAACAGTATTCGAGCTCAAAAGTCCAATAAATATTAAAAAATAGGAGCGGAGCAAACACACACCTCAAAAACATCAGCGGTGGGATCAGGTGCCATGGAGGAGTGAGCATCCTCTGCCGACCTGTAACACCCGCCGTGTTCGCCTTGTTTGGGAAAAAACAGTAAAATCTGTGGACAATTTTGTGTGTAAATAATGGTCTAACAAATAGTATGAAATAAGTCAGTCAGCGTTTAACTTAAAGCTGAACACTTCTCATAAATAAGCACCGTCATACGAGTATATAAACCCTTCGATTTCGTTAAACCCGATTGCACACTCAAAACTCGTGGCTGTCATGTAGTATTCCTTTCATGGATATATATATATTTTGTGTTTAATCTTGGTTCTATGCGCATTTTCATTTTGTAAATAATGTATCGACATGCATTTTTCAAGATGTTTATCTCCTGTTTTAGAAACAATGTGTACAATCAGATAATTTCATCGCGACCGAGTAGCAAGGCATCTACCATCGTCTGACCTCTACAGCGAAATACATTAAACTCTTAAGAAATCTGCTCCTTATGTAGGGATTGTAGAAGATATCGTCGATGAATAGGAAAAAAGGCGGACTATGCCTTTTTACGAGTAGTATTCAGCTCTAATGACAGATTGTATTGCTGACAATGGTAATTAGTGAAACATCACGATACGAAAGCCAAGAAGACTCAATCGATTTTCGAGTTTCGATCATTTGTTTTATATACGAGGGTTGTTCGAAAAGTTCGTGGACAACTGTCATATCTTTTTTATTTGACGTCATATGTTATCCAAATTTAGTAGAAATATTTTAACAATAAATCCAAATGATATGTGTTAATTTTGACAAAATAGTACGATTGATTAAAAACCTATCCAGATTTTAAAAATGCAAAAATCGGATCGCGGAGCAGGTCAAAATTTAGTCATATAAAATGAAGGAAAAACGAAAAACTACCTAGGAATTCAAATTCAGAATTGTTACATCGATACGTGTACCAAATTATGCTTTTATATTTTGCTTTGTTGAAAAGAAATCAACTTGAGAAGATAAGTTGTCCTCATTGAAAATGACAAAAATGATGACGTTTTAGAACGTCACGGAACTGCATAAAGCAATTTTGTGTTTTTCTCAGGAAAAATTCTGAATAAACTCTAAAAATGTTGAAGGAATCAAGAAAATATGTCACAAGCGAGTTGTGCATGTGTGTACAATTAGTACAAGCAATGTTTGAGTGACAAAGTGAGGATGACATCGGTTTTACTGTAAACATCTGAACAAAACTTTAAGATTTGAAGCGTAAATGAAAGACGGGGTTGCTTATCCTGAGAAAGCAGAGTTAAGTACTATAAAAGAAATTAAAACCTTAACAAAGGAAATTATACAATGAGATCAATTCTTAAAAAATAAATGTCAAGTATTAGAAAAATAATTTAATGAATGGGCATTGGAATATTCTGTGTGAAATGTATAGGTATAGTATCTATTGTAAATTTCCAACGCTATGCGTTGACGTTACATTGCCGTTTTGTGTGCTCCGCGGGTACAAAACCTGTTGAATTCAAAATGAAGTAAATTTATTTGTGTTAAATCGAATGGAATGAAACTTCATATTATAATGTGCTTGAGTAATATAACGAAAATGGACATCGTCCACGAACTTTTCGAACAACCCTCGTATAATGCTTGTACAGCACCTTAGAGTTTTAATATATAGGGCACTTCATAAATGTTTTATAATAATGATTATTATCATTATTCAGGTTTTTTTTAAAGTTGGTCAGTTTGTGGAGTGGTCCTTTACATTGGTACCATTGATAAAGAGTCAGAGGAGTGCTAGTAATCGGATCTAAATCTGACTTCTGGTTGGTTAGGATTATTTTGAATCTGCATATTAAATGATCCTTCTGGGCTTCGGTATAATGTAGAAGTAAAAAAAAACCAGAACTTGAAAACCGACCTTTGAGATTTGAAAATCCCTAATTTCAAATCAAATCAAAATTGGTATGTCGTTGTTGTTTTGACAGTGAAATACAAAATGTTGCTACATAGAAACCCTTTGCATATCGACTGCATCATATCAATAACCAGATAAATTTTATGCATCAGATTTGAGATATAGAAATAATGTAAGTTATAAACAAAGAGCATACTGACCTTGCATATACAGCATAGATGAAGTTTACAACTTGTAAAATGCTAACACAAATATATAAAAGGACGTAATTCGTTACATTGTTATTACTGGGGATTTTTTTTAGATAACATAGCATACTTTTGAAAGAGAGGTTATTTCGTGTTCCTTGCTATTTTCTGTGGGACATGACTAGGAAATTGCAGAGTATCTTTATACGAGGACAAATAAAGTTTGTCATTCGTTGTTTGAAGTGGAGATAAATCTGCACCTAATCACTTCTGCACTCGCTCCATCTCACAGAAAAGTATGGCACGGATGTGATCTGCATGTCACATCTAACATGGAAGTGACTTGCATGTCACATCTTTTGGCCTATTTTGTTTTGATGTGCCATCATTTTGCTAACCTTTTCATATGATGGTTTGATTGTCTTGCCTTACAGATACTTTTTTCTAGTCATTTTTGGGGGATCAGACATTATCATATTTTATGCAACTGATAATCAAAGCCTGAGAATCTGATCCCCTTCTTGTTTGTTAAATTGTTCACATTTATACCATTATTATAATAAATGACATTATTCATCTCTATGAAAGTGTTTTATTTGACTTATACAAAATTAGCAAAAACAAGCTGTGGTGAGCTTGCCTATAAGCATCGGAATACATAAAAGTATTGCATGGCTATTAAGATTTTATGAATAAGAGAGGACTATCCAAGTTATTGGGACTTGTGTCCAATTCCTTTGACAGGTTGTCAATAAATATGTTTAAAACAATCTCACAAGTGAATCTTTAGTTTTTCAAATAAAAAACAACCAGATATTTAAACATATAAATAGCTTAACCATTGTAAAACCACTGCGAAAATAGATAAAAAGAAGGCTTAATCACTATTCATTATTTCTTGTTTGAATAATTAACCGACTTCTGTGAGGGGTTCACTTTTTCTAATTACGTTAAGTGTATTGATACACCAACAAACGATTTTTATTTGACCTTATCCTTGAGAGGATGATCTTGAATCAAGGTCATGAAAAACCAAGAAGACATTAGCAATCATTGTATCATGTATGAGTTTCCAGTGATTCTCCTTTGCTTAGTTAAGTTATTTATTAGTGAAATGAATGTATTACACTTTCGCTTTCAGTGACTTTGGACTAATGATATGGCCTTGATTTAAGATCAAGACACATTCGTGGATCTGAAGCAATCTTTGATTTTAGTTAGTGATTCTCCATTACAAAGTCAAAGTTTTGCCCTTGAAAAGAATTTTAAACTATTTCTCCCATTGGTCTTTCATTTACAGAAAAAGACCTTGAGTTATAGTCATGACACACTTTGGATCATTTACAATCCCCGTATGAGCTTTCAGTGCTTCTCTTTCACAAAGTTATAGACCCTTGAAATGTTTCTTTTGTTAAAACCACAGGACTTCTTATCTTGACAAATAGAATCAGCTTAATGCACTATTTTGCAACAAAATAATAACTTGTTCAGAGGTTGGTATTTTTCTCATAAATTACCAAAATAATAAAATCTATGTACTGAGTACTACGCGCATCTCTGATATATGTAAAATTGTCCAGCAAAGGAAAGCAAAATTCCTGTCTTGAAAACTGTGGGAGGGGTTATCCGAACAAACGCATGAGACTGTGTCGGAGACGGGGTGTGGGTTTCCTTATGTATAATGTCAGTTGAACTTTATAGTAATATGCTCTTACTAATTTTTGCCCAGGTATTTTTTAAGGGTATAAAGCGTACAGAGTGTAATAACGATTGCCAGTTGGAGCTCTTTTTTTTGCTTTGGATTTATTTTTTATATTATTTTCAAGCACATACACTGTAGTAATAACAATCAGTTAATAATTTTGTACAAGATTCAAGACCCCACATACTATTTTAAAATCATCCTCAAAATTATCAATGATACTTCTAAGATAAATATAAAAGTCAGGATGATATTTATTTAGACCATATGGATTTACTAGTGTAATAGAATATCTGTTGTCAGCAAGAATACATGTAGTTGAAACAGTATAATTTCAAAGGGAATCAAGTTTGACTTTTGAAACTTTGACTTCTACTTTGTCATTAAAAAATGTTATAATATCCCTTGGTCACATTAAAAATCAAGGCCCCATTGTGAAAAAACAATATCTCTTTCATTTTCTGTACAGTATGTGTCTTGTAAATAGTAAAATGTTGCATTATGTTCTCTTAAATATTTAAAAACATCTTTCCTTTTACTGTGATCATGTAGCCCTCTACAATTTATGGAAATAATTTTAAACTTACAAGCCATACTTAGTATACAGAATAGAACAAGGACTCACAACATATACATACATGTATTTGCATATACACAAAGCTAAGTCATTATAGACTGAAAAATAAAAAAAAATACAAGCTTCCTGCATATGCATAGAAGGAAACATGTGAAATAATGGAGAGAAGAAAAAACACCACATTGTGTATATATGGTGTGGGCTGCTTGAAGAAGCTAATTATGAGTCAGTATATTTGATCCAGATTGTCTCAGTTGGCTTACAGTTCTGTAATTCCACGACATTTTCCCCTCAATTATAAGAGTTTTGAGACCGACCTGTCTAAGTTTGAAGTGTTTGCCTAGCAAAGTTTTATCAAAACTATTTGCCAACATTTAAATTAAAGAACCCGTAGAATCTGCAACATCTTAATCATATTTGGATACTTTACTTACTGTAGAAAATAAAGACCAACTTACCCCTGAATTGTATAATAAACAAGATGATTTCAACTTTCCGTATATAGTAATGTTCTGCTATCACCTGTGTGTTTCGGTCTCTTGATTTAATACGATACTCAATAGCTCTGAGTTCGATCATTAGTGTTATAACAGTACTGAAGAATCTTACTCACGCCAAAGTTCATGTTTCAGGAATTTAAAACTCGTTTAAAGCCAATATTTTCAAAACGCTGTGGCCATTGTTATGACCTCATAAGCAAATATAAATCTATCACTTGGTCGTGGCTACCATGTTTGATACCAATTGTTAGGCCTGTCTTTTTGTACAGAATTTGTCTACGGATTGTTCCGTGTACTCGGTCTATAAATAGGACTCATAACCTTTGTGATCGGTTATCATGGGATGCTTACTCCTCCTTGGCACCTGATCCAACCCCTGGAATTTCTAGAGATTCGTGGATTTTTCCCTCTTTACAGATTTGTATTGTTTATATATCATTGAGATCGATCATAGTTCGTAATCTTCACTTTTTACATCAAAGAAATCAAACCATCATTTTAATTAATAAACTGATATAGAAATCTTCTTAATCTTCAGAAAATCTACTAATTTCTAGAAGTGTTTCTTTTATTTTCCTTATCAGTAAAAAAATTGATTAATAATTATTTTTCCAAACTTAGAATGACGGTTTCTTGATTATGAACTTCTAAAATCATACGGCACTTTTTTGTCCAACGAAATTTTTAAATCAGGAGCATCTTTTGTAAACAAATATTTTAATGAGCGTGCATGTTGTTTTCATAATATTTAAGGAAACATTGTAATTTCATGATTTCATGGAAACTACCCAACAAACATATATATTTTTTTTAATTCATAGAATTTATTTTTGCTTTCACATTTAAAGACTATGTACAATAGATGTGTTTACATTCAATGCATACTTTCAATTTTTCTTTCATGTTATTTATATTATATACTTAATACAAGTTCTCTTTGGTAAACGCTAAATACAAGTTCATTTTATAAAGCTGCAAAAGATATATGACATTCATGTATATTATGAATCTTTATTGTGAAAAGCTTTATATACAAAGAAGTAAATAAAGAGAAGGGATGGAGGAAGGAAATCATTTTTAAAAATGTGAAGTGGGGGAATATTTTTCACTTTTTTACCATACTTGTACATTTGAATATAAATTCGAAGAAATCAATACATTATAGCATATCACAATAATTTTCCAAATCTTTTCATATTCTGAAAAATTACAATTTCTTAAAAGAATAGCCTTTTCAACTAGTATTCTATCTACACTATTTTTTTCTAGAATTACAGTACTTAATTTAGGCATATTTTTAAACCTACTGGCAAAAATAAATTGTTTTTCAGTAAGTATTATTATATTGTGTAATCTATACATGTTTTATAGATGTTATATGGATATAAACAATTCAAGGTGCATACTTATTATTACTTGATATTCACGTATTTGATAAATGCAACATTAACTTAACTCTTAAACAAAACTGTGAACACGACTACATGAACAAATTTTGAGAACCTCTTGACATTAAAATTTTGATTTATTTAAATTACAGTTTTAATACATGGTTCGATTTTCATTCTGTTTAGAAATAATGTCTTTTGAAAATAAATTAAGGAAGCTTAAACCATTTTTTTTTTCGAAATGTATTCTGAATATTCATTTATAAAACACAAATCAACAATTTATAATAATATTTGAGACTCATATTTAGAGAGTCTTTCTTGTAAAATGAGGATACCTTAAATGTTGTTTAAAATGTATTTATTCAAATTAATGAAATGGATTGAACAGCTGTCATTAATGCCTGTGAACGTTCTCTTCCAGCTACAGAATATAAGAAACAAATAAACTCGTTAGATTTCATTGTCAGTTATTTTGTAATACGTGACCCTGGTTTATATCACTAAAGACCTTGTTAGAGTTCATATGTCACATTCAATCCTAGTTCTGCTAGTTTGGGTCCAAATGTCTGATCAAAAGCCTCGTTTTCAGCCACGGTGAAGTGGTTTTTCCAGTCTCCTACTCCACCTATGGAAGAATTAAATGTCAATATAAATATTTCATTCATTATTTCACTCTTTCATTTTTTAAAAAAAGTTTTAAACATTTTTACTACTTTTCAATTAATTGAAAGTAATGATAGTTTCTTACCTAACCACAGATTTACTAAGGTGTGGTCTTTACTATATTTACAAGATATTTGTTTCGTTCATTAGCATGGTTTCCCTAATTTTTTAACGTGAAACTAAGTGATTCTTCAAAAATTATACATGTGTTGAAAAACCCTTTATTTTTTCTCGTTGTTACTTGAATTCAATACCTGAGATGTGAATGGAACGGGTATAGAAATAAACATAAATCAATGAATCAACTGCTTCCGAGGCCCTAATTTTTAATTTTTTACACTTACTAAAATGTACATTTATACATTTCAAATTTATAGATTGCTCTTGGAAATAAACACGAACACATTCTAAAGAATGTAATTATACATTTTCTAACTTCATTTGATCGATCAGATGAAATATTGTCAAAAAAATTCTTTACATGCAGAAAAAAAACAACATGAAAATTGAATGATACTTATACATATACATCTCTCTCTCTCTCTCTCTCTCTCTCTCTCTCTCTCTCTCTCTCGAGCATCACTAAAGGAAGAAAAACAAAAGAAAACTTGAACCTTTTCTGTAAAAAATATGTGAATTTTCCTTCCTTGTTATATTTGGCATGCTTTTGGGTATATTTGAGTTTTTATGAGTAGACATGTTATCAAAATCGCATTTCCTGGCTATTTCTTCAATCAATTCGGGAGAAGACCCAAGATCAAGAAAATCTGATATCTCTTGAACAGCCTTCTTCAGATTCTGAAAGATGAATAAAATAGATAAAACAGTCTTCTTCAGATTTTTGAAAAATAAAAAAACCTTTTGAAAAAATAAATTTGTGATTTGTATTTATCAATGGATATATTTGAGCTTGAATCCTGCTATTTATCTCTATATTTAATTATATAATTCGAAATCATGCTAGAAACAGACAGAACTTTTTTTTATCTCTTTCGAATGAATGTTAGGATATCTATACTTAATAAACCTGATATCGATATTTGATATAGCACTAAATTACAAAGCATTTAGAATATTCTAAAAGAGGTTAGAGTCCAAAAAAGCATTGTTCTAAGATAATTGTTTCTCTTTTATGTTCAAATGCTATATAAAACAACTAATTATTACCCTTTTCATGTCTTCGTACGATATTTCAAAAAATGGATAATCAGGGTTTTCTTTCTGAAATGTCTTCCATTCTTTTATCCAGTTGACCCAACCACTACATGGAACTAGAAATAAAGATTTCTTGTCTATTGTTACTTGAACTAAAACTACTTTTATGATGAAAAAGCAGTTTTTATATTAATAAAAAAAATGTTTTAAGGATATCCGATCCTCAGTCAAGAAGGATTACTCTTTAATTTATAATTTAATTCAAAATGAATCTTTTCAATTTTCATTTTATATCTCTCAATGTGCTTCAAGGTTCTTTGAAGATATTAGAAACGTATTTTAAAAAGTCGAAATTTTTACCTCATTAAAGTATTTCAAAGTTACATATTTAAAGAAATTAAGGTTCTTTTAATAGCTAGAGATACCAATGTTTATGAGCATGAAATAAAATTAGAGATGATTTTTGGTGTTTTACAATGATAGGAAGACCTTTATACACTATGCTTTGTACATTAATCGAAGTAAATAGATAGATTGATTGATTATTGTTTAACGCCGAGTCGGGAATTTTTCAGCCATGTTTCGGCGGACCATTAGTTTAAATCGGTTTTTGGAAGTTTTTTATTTCTCTGGCGGCCCCCAATGAGCCTACCCTTTTTCGAACTCCAGAGAAACGATCTTTTACGTGCCGAGGGGTTGTTATCCTTGACACGGGGCACCATTTAACGTACCGTCCGACGGACTTAAATATTTGTTTTAAAATATGTAAAGTTTTAAACAAAAATTTCATTAACTGTTAAAAAAAATAGATTTGATATTTACATGTATATCATTAAAATTGTTTTTATACCTGTATTCAAATTTTACTATCATAAGAAGAAACTCACAAAACTTTATAAATACTGTATACTTTTTCAAAAGCCTAGATACCTATGATTTTGATTTCTAAAATGTTTTTGATGATCAAAGTTGAATTGTAAAGTGCATAGAAGGTTTTTTTTATTCCTTAAAAAAAGATTTACAAATTCTCTCTATAAAATGATAAACTTTAAATATGAAATTTGAAGAATTATTGTTGGTAAAAACACATTTCTAAATGAGAATTCATGGAGAGACATTTTTGTGAGCATTTTCAGTTAGTCAAAATGCCTCATTTTCAGAACCTTATGATCGGACTACCTTCAGAGTTTTTGCTTCTTTTTTGCCTATTTTATTCAATCTACCATTCAACTTGAAAAAAATATTAGATTAATACCTTCTCCACTGACGAAATGTCTCAAAAATTCTGGAAAACACATATCTTCTGTGTTGTAAAACTTTACTTTTTTGCTGAAGTTAAAGTATGACACTGCAACATCTTTTGGGTTCCGATATATGTGGATGATCTTGCAACGTTTCTCTAAGAAATGTTTCGGCAGGTGTCGCGGATACATATGTGAAGTATGGACACCGTTCATTTTGCGGGCGGCTTCCAAGTCCTTCCTCGGCGTGTAATCGAAGATGGGAACCAATCTGTCCATATATTCCGAATTTCCATTTTTTAGCATGTTACATATCTCATACATCCAGTGTGTACCTGAAATATTTTTTATAACACAAAAAAATATAGGAATTTGGAAACGATAATTGGATACATCAATTTAGCTCAGATTCTAATTTTTTTTCATATAGGTCTTTTAAGAATCAACCAACCTGATTTAAGATACGAAACTATACATATTTCACCATCTTCAAAAGTGAGCTCATTTAAGCCAGAGAGGTATTCGGTAACATCAACGTCCGGTTGGGCACCAAGATGGTTGGGAAAATAATACCCCTCATAGTCCAGAACTTTTGCGAACGATTCTCCTTTATCATTCAATAAATTCGTCATTTCTAATCAAGAAAATATTACAGACACTGAGATGGACAGACATTAAATTAGTAATATTTCATGAAAAGATTTTTCATCTTATTCAATAAGATGATAATTATTAGAACATAGTGTTACGAAAGCCCAGAAGACTCATCTGAGTTACAATGTTCGAGGTACACGAGATCAAAATTTAGATTTTAAAGATTCAAGATCTAAATCAACCAAGACGTCGATTTTTTTTATTCCATTCTTCCCCTTTGCTAAGTTAAAAAATACATTATATATTTTCAACAAATAGGTTACAATGGAAGAAAGAATGTTATATACATGTATATCAAGTTGGGTCAAGTTGATCAAAGAATACACAAACTTAATTTGCATGTATTTGCCTAACCTTAGTAAGAAAAAAAGAGCATTTTTTACGAGATAAATAGATGACATGTTTAATATATACTTTACGTTAATCAATTTTCTCAAAGTCAAAAAAACTTAACTCCTCGGAGAATAGAGAGGTTCTTTACATTGGCACAACGGAGAGGAATCGAGTCTTCAAACCGCCTAGTGGTTGGTTGATTTAGCTTATTCGAAAGTTTGAATTTTAAATCTTGATATCAAATGACCCTTCTGGGCTTTTGTACAGTGAAGAGGTCAAGAATCAGAACTTGTATTTACCGACTTCGGAGATTTGAAATCCCCCTTCCAATAATATGTAAATTTAAATGAATGATAATAAGTTATTTACCTAAAGTTTTTTCGTTTCTATTTGTATACAGAGACATATATAATTTTCTTATATGTCTCTGATGTATATAATTCTCTTAAATGTCTATGATGTACACTAAACAAGACTGGTAAGACTTAATGGCGTTGACCAATACAAAATAAACACAAAAAACGCGTGTATATCCACTATTTCATAAATTTTATAACATTAAATTTAAGACTTAAAAGAGATTTTAATTAGTAGTTAAACAGCACACTTACCTAGCACATACAAGAAGTTCACAACCTGTCAATGCTACTACAAATAACACAACGTTATCTATAAAAATAAAATCCTAGTTTTTAATAGATAACACACTTCTGCAAGAGAGGGTATTTATCATAATTTGTTTTTTATCATGGGAACATGCCTGCCGATGTTTCACGCTTATATGAATATCGTATTCATTTCATATGTTGTTCTGTAAACTAATCAATTCTCCACACTCTTCTTCCCTATTAAATAATCAATTATCTTTTTATATTTGGAATTTGGAATTTTCAGATAAAGACAACAATATGTGGTAAATACTGTAAACCGCTTCGTGGTTATAAAACCAGAAAAGAAAATAGACAATATTAATTAAGGGTTCTCCACACTCACACAGCTTATGTTCTCATATTAATATTTATACATTTAAAAAAATTTCCAATAAATTTCCCCTATGATTCTTTACAAAATAAAACGCACTTGACGTCAAAAAATATAGTGCAAGCTGTTTTGCTTTAAAAATGACAGTTGAATGACGTAAATTTATGGCAAGTCATCAGGAAAATAATGTAAATATAAGAAATGAATTTAATTTTTGAAGATTCATGAGGTATATCAACCTTTCATGAAAACTGGTTCATAACCTCATGAATCTTCAAAAATTAAATTTATTTCTTAATTGTGCATTACTTTTAACAAGTATATCAACCTTTAAAAACTGGTCAGGGATTAAACGGTTATCTATACGGATTTTTTAAAAATAATAATTTCACAAGTTTCAAGATATTTTTCCCACGGCGTTTTCACATGTAGCACGAAAAATTTGTCTTACCCTATCATATATTTTTTTAAGCTCACAGAATATCCATAAAATTTAATTTCATAGATCGACATATTTTTTAGAGAAATTTATCTAATTTATAGAAAATATATATAACTCTTTTTCTCTACAATACATTTAGAGAAAAATCAAGGAAGACACCTTTTGTATACTAGTAGATGAAACGTCAATGAATTAGATTACACCAAAAAATTGAATTTAATTAAATGCTCTGAGTGATGTCGAAAAAATATTTTCAAAATCTTTGGTATCAGAGTTCCTTTTTGGAGTTATTTTTTCTGTTACCCGGGACCCAAAACCTTTCGCAAGTCTCCGCGTACGTCACCATACAAAAGTTACTAATTATTAGCCACTGAACTGGACAGATATAATAAAGGAAAACTAGAAACGCATAATATTTTATTAATATTTATAAACACACATTGTATTATTGAAATTAGTGTGCAAAAATATCAACTTTCAACACAGACTCTGTTGAGTGTTGACGATCATGTGGCAGTGGGTTGATTAGCCTGAAAGCATAAAAAACCTAAAAGTTCTCGTCATACCGGCACCGTTGTTTACAAGCGGTGCCAGGCGATTCGTCAGTGCTCAAACTACATAAAACCGGAAGTAAAAGTTTTTTTTTTCTATATACGTCACAAGTCACATGGGGCGACTTCGATTCATACTCGAGTATTAACTCTTGGTTGACGTCACATGACCGGATGTTTACTCAAACATGTGGTTTTCAAGAACTCATATTTGAAAAAAATAAAATAAATTTCCTCTATGAGTTTTAAAAGGCGGTCGAATAGGTCCATTTTGACATCATCTGTTGAGTTAATTTTTTCTATAGCTTTTGCTGCTGTTGAAATGTTTTTCTTTTTCAGCTCTGAACTTTTTTGGTTTCGAATTTGAATTTATGTCTCTGCTGTTATCGGGCAGTAAGCCTGAAAAATCTAATCAATTAATAATATATTCATATAAATTATAAAGCGTTCATGTAGAAAGTGCGTTTCGAAGTTTGCTTTTAAGGATAAGCGATGCTAAACATAATATTTAGTAAAAAATAATTCCTACGTTCGGGTTTTTCTTTCGACGTCGCCATATCGAAACTCTAGAAATCCTACTGTATGGCTGGGTTAGCTTGAGTTCATAAGGTCATATGACGTATTTTGGTTAGTAACTATGGTCGTTCGATTGAAACTCAAGTAACTCGAGTACGTACTCGGGTACGAATCGAAGTCGCCCATGGTGTGGAGGAACCTTAAGAATTAAAAAAGAAAATTAAAATTCAATTTGTCATTCATTATTTGAATATAACAATCCATGTATTCTAGCGGTTATAACGTCTGCTCTAAAATCGTGGAGTAAAGTGCTGATTCTTGCGTCGCGGGTTCGTATCCACTGTGGGACGTGGAGACCGGTCCTTCTGATGAAATCACAACAGTCTCTGGCACGAAAAAGATCTCTCACTGGACTTTTGAGAAGACACTGACTTTTACAGTTGACGGCTTACCTTTACACCAGGAAAATATACGGGAGCTCTTTTGTGAAAAAATATTGATAAACGATAATAACGGACAATTTCAAAGACCATATTGCTTTGTCTATGAAGGAAACGGAAAAATTACTACCCTCAGAACCCTTCATTCCAGTCTTGACTACTGTACAGCGGGAAATTAACTCGCGGAGTTAATATTCGCTATATTCGCGGAAAAAAGAAATTCCGCGAATTCAAGATACAGTGAATAATTCTTTAAAAAATTTATAAGGATAAATTTTAATTTTAATCTTTATCTGTGATTATAGATTCTTTAAGTCTAATTCAAATTGAGATGTAGACCGTCTTTATAATTACGCGGGGGGTATGGATCAATTACAAACACGTAGACTAGTTGTTGATGTTTTTAAAATTTATTAATTTTTAAATTAATTTCTATAGCTGACAAATAATTTTGCCATTTATTAGACGTGCAATGTAATTATTCAATAATTTCACCCGTGCGTATCACTCAGTCCTTACCTTTAATCGAGACACTTACGTAGTAATCAGGGTAAAAGCAATTAAATTAATTTCAGTTATACAATTAAAAGTGTAAAAAAAAAAAAAAAAAAAAAGGAAAAAAAACATTTTGACTACGATACAATTTTTTTCTGATTTGGACTCGGAAATGAAAAAATTCTGAATGCGTAACATTGTTTTGACTTCAATTCGGGATCAGTCCGTAATTCGTAATTATTCAATCGGGCTCAAAATCGACACAATATAATCATAAAGACTTGACTTTCTTGTGTAATATGCGCGATTTACAAGTACAGACTTTCGTAAGTTAGAGACGGGAAATATCAGTCTACACCATATATAGCTAAAGGAAAATGCTTGCAATTAAGTACTTTTAAAAAATGTACGATTTTTCCTTTCCGCGATTTCAACCGACGGCGACTTTCTGAAAATTGAACAAATCGCGATCTTTTCCGACCGCGATTTTAACCTGCTATACAGTAACTCCTGCCGAATTTTCCTACCGAAATCTGTCTTCTTCCTTTATTTCATTTATTACATTTTTAAAAAAAAAAATAAGAGGATAATATTTTCAATTCCGTACCTCCGTACATGACGCAGGTTAAAATGTCCAAGTAAGCCGTCAACTGTAAAAGCTTTTGTCTTCGCAAAAGTCCACTGCTCAATCAGCTTTAATTACATGCAAGTTGCTTTCAGATTCCCCATCCAACTATCCGGCAAAATAAAAATACATAGAAAATTCCGTGACCATTATAACGACCTCAGCAGCAAATATAATCTATCACTTGGTCGTTCTTTGGTTGACGTGTTTCATTCGCATTGTTAGGCCTGTCTTTTTGTACAAAATTTTACTGCAGATTGTTCCATCTACTCGGTCATTACATACATGCAGGCCTCCAGCGGGTGTGAACGGATATCAGGGGATGCTTACTCCTCCTTGGCATCTGATCCCACCTCTGGAGTTTCTAGAGATTCGTGGATTTTTCCCTCTTTACAGATTTGAATTGTTTTTATATTATTGAGATCGATCACTGTTCATAATCTTCACTTTTTTCTTCTTGACAGAATTATATTGTTTATAGATTTCGAGAGCGATCACTGTTTGTAATCTTCATCCTTTTCATAAAAGAAATCAAGTAATTATTTCAGTTTTTATACAGTAATATAAATATTCCATATCTACTTTTGTTGCATTTGATATCTTCATAAAATTTATTTATTAATGAAGGCGCAATGGATGAACATTCTGATTGATAATGCTTTAAATTTCTCATACGATAAATCATTTCAAAAGATCATCTTTGGAGAATAAATATTTAATACAAATAAACGTTCAAGGGTTTGTTGCATAATCTACAACATACATTCTTCATACTTCAAGCATTTAATGCTAACTTTGGTACATGTATTTCAGAAAAAGACATATACAATACTAGTATATAAAAATTTTGTACTGTTTTCCCTTTTTACTATACAAATGGCACCATTTAAATTATTCTCTGACAAATACTCAGAGCGTATAATATTTGCTTTCAGTGTACGTTTATTCACAGTTTGTTGGGCATTTTCAATCCTAGTTTAGGAAGTATGGCTTCCATCGACTTATCAAAAGCCTCGTTTTCAGCTACTGTGAAATGGTTCTTCCAGTCCCCTACCATCCCTAATCAAAGAAAAAGCATTCGGTATATCCACCAATCGAGAATCAATGCATTTATGAAATCCGTTATTCTCGAAATTCTGATTGCATTGGGCTCCCGTCTTACAAAAGAATTCATGCCTTAATCCAAACTGTAATTTTGGACTTTCTTTCTTTTCCGGAAAAATTTTAAAATAGTATTAAGGTAGAATTCTTCTCTGGTTTCTGACTAGATGGAATATTCAAAGTATATTTGTTGATATGTCTTATATATTTAGATGCAAGAGATTTAAAAGACCATATTTTTCTTTCCTCATCACAATTATACAACTTTAAATAGAAATGGTAAACTGCGTTTGAAAACTAGCAGGGACTATATTTTTGGCGGAATGGTGGCGTATGAAAATATCTTCTTTTCTGTCTCTCAAAATTGTTATAGAACATTGAATTCAGCTATAATTTTTACGCAATCAAACACCAGACGAAATTTTCAAATGTAAGTTAAATTAATAATAAGGGTCTAATGTTTCAAAATATATCAAATGAATAAGATTTTTCACACATACTAGAACTATGTTGGCTTTTAAATGCTTCAAATCTAAGTACAGATTTGAGCCAAAAATCCGTTAAAAGTGTTATTCCTCCCTAGTAAGTAAACGATCAAAACTTTTAGTTTTTGTATCATCATAAACCTTAATGTGACAACTTTACTATATGTGAAAATTAGAAAAAGTTAACTATAGGAAGCATATGAAAATAACTAATAAATCCTAAAAATTTAAGAAAAGTAGAGGAAATTCGAATTAACAAATATCCATTTTATTTAAATTATCCATGTCAGTTTGGTAATATCATCTTATAGGCCCTATATGGTAGTATCTTTTTATGCAAAAAGAAAAACATTCAATCTTTTGAATTACAAGTAGGGATCGCATGATTGGAAACAGTAATTTTTTATTCTTAATGTCCAGGAAAAAGGTAATGACCTTGAACTGACCTTGCCTCTAATATTAAACGGTCAAATTTAATCTCACTGATACCATCACTTACTGATATTGTCCTCTTGATTCTGTGAAAATTTCATTAATTTTTAAATACAAGAAATCTGAGAAGAAACCTACCTTAATTTAAGAGTAAAGAAAAGAAAAAAAATGAGAAATATTTTAATGCGAGCAATTCTTAATAATTTTGACAAAATTTACAATCAAGGGAAATTAGAGAAGGTTTTCTTCTTAATCCTTCTGTAAAATGGGCCCCAGGAGTGTTTCTTATTCCTCTTATGTCAAAAATTAAAAAAAAATTATAACTTTTCTAAAAGGAAAACACATTTAAAGAAATATACCTTACCTTTTCTGTAGAAAATATGCTTATTTTCCAAGACTGATATATCTTTCACCCTGTCTGGAACATGCGCATTTTTATATGCCGACATGACATTGAAATCGCATTATCTTGCTATGCCCTCAATTAAATCAGGTGAGGAATCAAGACCAAGAAAATCCGAAATTCTCCCCACACTTTCCTTCAGATTCTGTAATTTATATTAGAAATATAGTTCAGTATTGGTTACACAGGTACAAACCTGCCTAGGATTTTTTTTTTTCGCTTTGCAGTGATAATGTTACCTTTTCACGGTGGCATCTAGTCATTGCTTTTGATCACATTCTTATGCTTTTACATTTATGGATATGCATTTCTTGATTATGAACTTCTAAAATTGTGAATCTTGCACTGACACTTTTTATATATATCAACGATATTTTCAAGTTAGGAATATCTTTTGTGAGAAATGAGTTCTTTTAATGAACATACAGGTTGTTTTCATAATATTTTTATTCATAGTCTATTATAAATGTTGTAATATATGCTCTTTGTCGTTTATTTAAGAAATGAATTTAATTTTTGAAGATTCATGAGGTTATGAACTACGACGCTTCACGCCGGCATATTTCATGAAGCGCGTTAGCACTTCATGATAAATATGCCGGCGTGAAGAGTCGTAGTTCATATACCTCATGAATCTTCAAAAAATTAAATTCATTTCTTATATTTACATTATTTTTCTGATGACTTCCCATAAATTTACGCCATTCAACTGTCATTTTTAAAGCAAAACAGTGTGTACTATATTTTTTGACTTCAAGAGCGGTATTATGACGTAACAATGGAGATATTCATGCTTATTCGTGATACACCCGTAATGTAGTTCATGAGAAAATGAACTGCATTTTTTGGGGTAAAGAATCATTTGGGAAATTTACTGGAAATGTATAATATTTGTTGTTGTTGTTTTTTTCATTTGAATAAAGAAACATTTTTTATTTCTTTAAAGTCTTTCGATACTGCAAAGATTTCATGGAAACTGCCAGACAAACATAAATAACGGTTGTACAATGTGTACAGGTATAAAGTTATTAAATTATGAGAGACTTTGCAATAAATTATTTTTACTGCTTTCATATCTTCATATGATATCTCTAGAAGCGGATAGTCGGGATTTTCTTTTCTAAATGTCGTCCATTCTTCTATCCAATTCACCCAGCCTCCGCAAGGAACTGCAATAAACATCCAATAAAACATTACCGCTTCTTTAAAACACATGGATATATTTAGAACTTACATTACCATGTCTCAACATAAACAATTTAAGGTGCATATTAAATATTATTTGATATACCTGTATTTAATAAAAGCAACAATAACAGATCTTTAAACAGAACTGTGAACAGGACTACATGAAAATATTTGAGAACATCTTGATGTACAAATTTTGTTTTAATTGAATTTCAGAAATACTGTTACTGTTTCCATTGATAAAATGTCTTAGAAATTCAGAGAATCCCATGTCCTGAGTATTTAGCTTTAGACTTTTAATAAAGTTATAATATGACACAGCAACATCTTTTGGATTCCGGTATACGTGGATAATTTTGCAACTTGTCTGTATAAACTGTTTTGGTAGGTGTCTTGGATAGAAATGTGACGTATAGACACCAGTGTTGCTCTGCATGAGTTCCAGTGCTTCCCTTGAACTGTAATCAAAGATTATTATCATGGTATCTAGGAACTCTGAGCGCCCACTCTTAAGCATATTACAGATCTCATAAGTCCAGTGTGTTCCTATTAGAAAGAAAAAGACATTAAGTTAGGCCATCATTAAAAAATTGTTTGTTTGGAATTGCTTTAACACACTAAAAATTAATAAATACATTTTTTGAAAAAAGGTTTAATTTTTTTAAAAGGTTTATATTTCGGTGTTTTGTATGGTGCAATGATGATGGGCAAAAAAATTAATTAAATAAAAATAAATCTTCACTTTTGGTCACAGGAGGAGGCAAATCAATGTTCCATATAATTTTATTTTGGCCTTATTTATACTTTAAAACTTTAATTGAATTCAATTTCAAAAAGTTTCAATGAGGGGATCTCATCACTGTATATGTGACAGCAATGAGCAAAAAGCCTTTGATATGCTATACTGGAATGAATGTTGTTCACTTGCATCGTGTCCTCTGAAACATTATTTTTTTTCAAATATAAGTGTTCACTCTGAGCTTATGCCGAACTTCTATATATAAAAAGAAAATAAATGGAAGATATTACTTACCTGACTTTGGATAGGAAACGATGCACACTTCGTCACCTTTAAAAGTGAGTTCATTAAGACCGGCCAAGAAGTCTGGGACATTGACATTCCTTTGTTGTCCTAACTGGTTTGGGAAGTAATACCCATCATACTCCAGAACCTCTGAGTACGGTTCGCCTTTCTCGTTCAACAGGGGCTTCATTGCTTGGAGAAAAAACTCTGAAATATAAACCGTGATTAGAATATTGAAACATTCAGTTGACCCTCGATAATCTGAAAAGAAACAATCCGGAAATATAAGCTTCCAAACGAAACAAGTTGGGAACAGAATTTAAAGGATAGCTTCGGTATAAGTCGAGGCGCCATCCAATTCAGTATGTAAAGATAGGAACTTTTTAGAATCACTAACAACGGAGCATGTTGTCAAAGAAGGTGGCGATTGTTATCTCGAAATGTTTATAATTTTTTCTCTACTTTTAATTGTACACAATGTAAATGTCAAAATTTTAAATTTCAAATGCAAATTTTAAAAATCTAAACATATTTACAATAGGAAAGAATCAATACATCCTTTGTACATTTTGTACATGTTTACCAAATATTAACGTTATGCATCAAGGATCTTTATTATACGAGGGGTGTTCAATAAATAATGTCATTGGGGCTCAAAAAAACGATATATTCAATGATTTAGTCTTAATTTTACTTATTAATCTATTTTATTCAAACACATGTCCAAACATTTTTTATCCAATTTCAGATTGTTTTTATATCTAATTTTTGGGTATGACCCTTAGTATACTGAAAATGGCAGATCCAATGATTTCCTGGACTTGTTTTTTCCTTATGAAAGGTGTTTTATTCAAGTTTGGAAATAGAAACAAGTCAAAAGGTCAAAGATCTGGCAAATATTGTTAATGTGAAAAAACATTAACTTTCTGTTTATCCCGTAAACCCCTTTACTCTTTAGGGCATGCGGGTTTAAACGCTGTCATGAAGAAATTCAATGTAGTGGATTCCTGATTCTGGGTCCTTTCTCTGATAAACCTTTCGATTTCTTTGCAAAAAAAACTGCTTTCTAGACACCTCCAGATATTAAACTGTCTCCCCGAATACGAATTTGAACAATAATACCACTAGTATTTAAGAAAATTGCATATAAATATGTTTTTGTGCTCTTGCATACCTTTGCTCTTGAGAGACCTATATACATCTTATGGTAAATTTTGTTTTAATGGTTTTAAGCAATAGATTCATGTTCCAATATCTGTTTGTATATAAAACAAACGTGAATTACTACAATTGCTGATATTTTAGAATAATTGTTAAGACTTTTGTACACGCTGTCGTTTTCACTTATTTTTCAATATACAGGGTGACCTTAGAGTACCAAGCTTAATTACTGTCAAACGTTTCTTAAAAACAGTGTAAACTACTCCCGATATGATGTCTATCAAATTTGCTATGTGTCTTAAAGTAAATCATACAACATCAAATATTATTTGTTGAAATTTGGCAAACAGTACACAAGTTGTTATAATTTTTGTTGGCAAGGAGGGTACCCATTTTTGATGCCCATTATATAATTTTTTATCTTTGAAATACACCTGCTAATTTGTCTATAAAACAGGCATCGGTTGCTGTAAATGTCACATGTTTCAGTGAATATTTCTTTGGGATTTTTAACAAGTTTTACAGCAGCTTTAATGTAGCTTTTATTTTCACTCTAGTTTACTGATTCTTTACCATTCATTTATAATGCAGTGTCTCGATTAGCCCTTGTTTCCCAGCTTCTCACGATAAAACTATGTGATGAAAAGTGGTCACATAAACTGTTATAAATTCATTAAAGATTCAATAATGAGAGAAAGTCAAGCTTTATGTCATATGACTACTATGTTGTATGTCATCGAGCTAATGACATTATTTATTGAACGCCCCTCGTACATGTACGCTCCAGACAGACTAAATAATTACGAAAAAAAATTATATATTCACGAATGACAATTTACCTCGTCATTTCATAAAGCGGATACAAACTTGAGGATTAAATTCGTAATCTATATCTAATTATTCTTATGCTGACTATTGAAAATTCTTGATTTCATAGTTACCTATATATATATATAAACTCAGTCGGAAGGGCAAAATCTAGAACTTAATGCGTATTTGTGTTACAAAAAAATGATATGGACACTTTGCTTTTAAACTAAACAAATATACAATGTAATCTTTACATTTTTACATGTAGAGTAAGTTTCAGTATCACAATTGGTCAATATATATTCAAGAAATGTTCATCTTATGAAAATATATACATACATAAACTACGTACAGCGGCGGGATGCACACCGGTATATATATCATCCGTGCAAAAAAAAAAGCACGGTAGCTTTCTAGATAAGAAAAAAATAAATAGGACGTCGTAACATGCGAAAGATGACATACTCGTAATGTTTAGTTTAAAGATAAGTTGTTTTTTTTTCAATCAAGTAAAACAAGGCACACCCTTTGAATTAAAGGTGTTTTCTGTCTGTAATTCTTCGTGTTCGTAAATTAGATTTTGTGGACTAATAATTTTTTGATTTCGATTTTTTTTATAAACCTGCAATTGCTTGATTAACCGACACCAGAAGAATGTTGACTGTTGCACATACATCATCTGAGCGTTATAATTTTTATATTGTCAAGTAACTATATATATATACGAGGGGCTGTTTTGGTATTTACTGCCATAAAGTGACATGTACGGCACGCCAAAGTCACAAAAATGAGCTTATCATAGTTTCACAATTGATAAACTACAATGCATTAGGTTTATCGACTGTAAACTATAGTTTACGGTCCGTAAACTACAGTTAATGATGATAATCTATTTTTCACATCTGTAGACTATAGTTTACGCGATAATCTATGTTTTACAAGCGTAAACTATAATTGACACTGAAAACAATTATTTGAGATGGCAAAATATAGTTTATTTGATATAGTTTCAAGATTTGTAAGACTATGATTGACAACTCCTAAATATAGTTCACGAATGTAAAGTATAATTTACAGACAAATAAACTTAGAATAGCATTCGTAAAATATAGTTTACAACCGTTAAATATATTTTACAGATGAAACTATAGTTAACGAATCGTTATCTAAAAGTTCACGGTTCGTAAACTATAGTTTACAGTCGATAAACCTAGTTTATCAACTGATAAAACTAATGTTTCACTTATTTTTGTGAAATAGGGGTACCATAGATATCACCTAATATTAATTTTCTCTATTATTCTAAGCTCTCTGATTGGCTCAAGCTTGATCACATGATCAAGTATATAACAGCATATAAACTTGTGTTACTATTTATAGATTCTGAAAATCATATGGACTTGAGGTTCAAAAAAAAGGAAATAAAATACATTAAAGTATATCATTGAGGGAGTTAGCAAGATTCCAGTTCCCCAAGACCAGGACTGTTTCCCGAGGCGCAGCGCGCCGAGGAAATAGTCCTGGTCGAGGGGAACTGGAATCTTGCTAACTCCCTCAATGATATACTTTTTAACTGTTTTATTATACCGATACAAATAGAGGATTACGAATGGCGGGGAATTAGCTTAAAGACTAACGCACGGGGAATTAGTCCATTAACATATTAGACCGACACAAAAGTAAAATCTAGAGGATTACGGATAACCGGCAAATTAGCTTCCGAAGGAGGGATTAGCTCATTGAACTAACGCACGGGGAATGAGTCCATTCACTGAGATTTCTAGGGAATTATTCACATTTTACTGCCTTACTTTTATATAGGAAAAAATCAGTAGAGGTATAATAATTTTCCCTAGTTTTCCCTTTTTTTCATAACAAAAGTGCTGACTAGCTAAAATAACTTTGTGTTTCTGGAAAATCAAATAATTCAATTCCTTTTTATAATATTGATGTTCTGTATTTATAATTGCTTGTATGTAACAATGCCTTGAATAAGAATCTTCTTTATGTTTGAATATATAAGGAAAAAAGTTATTTTTTCATAAATATTATTATAAAACAAATGTAGTCTTTGAAATTACATTCCCTATATTACTCTATCAGTAAAAAGGAAATACAATTAGGATAAACAACTTAAAATACAATTAGGATAAACAACTTATTTTTTTTATCTTAGTCTGTGATAAAATACGTCGGGAAAAAACTTGTGGCTTGTTCATGTGTATTATTTTCAAATATGGTTTTGTGAATTTCTTTTTTAAGAAAAATACAGCTCAACGCACTTTTTAAGCTCACATGGTTTTTCGCACAAATTAAGGTCACATTGTTATGATGTAATATTGTGTATCGAGACAACAAAATACATTTTAAAAGTACTAATTCTAGTAAAAATTCACACATATCAATTGGTAGTAGAACTTTGATATATTCATGGCTGAAACATAACTATTCTCATTTGAATTTTTGTGGTTTCTTGCCAATTGCAGCTGCCTTTTTATCCGTTCTTTTGAAAGCAATACCTCTTGGCAGAAACGTAGACATGGGCACAGTTTAGCTACTGTAACATATATTTTATGTACTTCTAAAATCTAGAATCATGAGAGATTCATCCCACTGCAAAATTTTAACGTTTCAAACCGCAAATGTTGGAGAATTTTCCTTTTCATAGAAGGAATTCACTATTCCAAAAACATAAACAATACTTCATTATCCTACCCTTTAGTGTGGTTTTCTTCTGCAATGTAATCCCTTTTTGGCGCTACATTTCGACAAATCCAAGTGGAATATGGTGAATGAGCAAAGAATTTTTTAAAATACTCATCTTTAAGAAGAAAATTAAAAATTTTCAACTACATGGTGTCAAGGAAAGCTCGTTTTATACAATTTGTAAAAACCTTTATTATTTTTCTTTATTGTTCCAGCTATCTGATTGGCTCAAACTGGACCACATGAACAAGTATAAAAAGTGTTACAGACTGGATGTTTCTATCTTAAAAATTTATAAACCTGCTGTTTCTAAAATTGCAAACGTTCTTCCGTGAAGCAACAATAGTGCTGACGCCACAATAGTCTTTATAAACTGGATGTTTCTAAAAACAGATACTGCAGCTGGTTTTCATTACTGTGACGTCATAATGCAAATGACATAGCAATGCCTTGTATGAGAAGGTACTGAGTATTAGAAAGAAGAATTTTAAGACATTTCTTATTAACTGATAAAAAATAATAAAACAATTGTAGCCTTTTGATTCGGTACAATCCCTCGATATATAGACCTTAGAGAAAGCATATCAACCTCGTACTTCGTGCTCGGTCGATATGCTTTCTCTAAGGTCTATATATCGAGGGATTGACCTCATCGAAAGGCTATAATTGTATAATGGTAGAATCGTATAGTCGAAACATCGTACCATTTATTTATAAATTCCCCTTTAAAACATCCACTTTGGAAACTTAAAATAATAATTTTAAAAGATATTTATGCTTGACATTATATATGTAATATAACGTAGGGTCATGTCATTGTACTGCAGTTCGAAAATGGTAATTTTTAGTACAACAGTGTGACGTTAATTTGTGCGGAAAACCATGTGAGCTTAAAAAGTGCGTTGAGCTGTATATTAAACGAATGTAGGCTATATCTCTATATTCAAGTACAATATAGGTGACGTCATGCATTTAATAATGATATCACCTATTCGAATACATGTAGATGATTTCACCCATTCAACTTTTTATTTGGTAATATCGCTTATTCAAAAAGGTAATATAACCTTTTCAAGTGAAGATGTGATATCGCCTATTAGAATAGATGCTATCACTGATGTAAAAGATGGGGATAAGGAACAGTCATCGATCTCAAAACATCTAGCGTACAAACATTATATATCCGTGAAAAGGGTTTAAAACATGGACCTTCTGAAAGTCAGAGGATGGATCAGATGCCTAGGAGGAGTGAGCTTCCCCTGTTGACCGTCACACCCGCCGTGAACCCTATAAGTTACCGGTGTTGTAGAGTAGGATTTCCCCCATATCCAGCTCTCCCCCGGAAATCGTACTCTAGAGTAGGATGTTCCCCCGAGGGGAAATCTCACACCAGAGTTAAATTTCTCCCTCTTTCTTTCTCAGAGTAGGATTTCCCCCCTCGTTATAGAGTCAATGTAAACCACAGCCGCAATATTTTTTGTAAAAAAAAAAACAACAAACTGATTTTTAAAAGGTAAATGAGTGGGTTTTTTTTTTACTTATGTTGTAACTTGTAAGGCAAATCATAGAATCTCAACCAAAATATTTAGCTTTCAAATGAAATGTAAATATTCTCAAAATATAATGAAACAAAACAAAAATGGATGTCTAGATTGGTATATATTTTTGGACATATTTTGGTTGTAAATGATTACAATAAGAAACTTTCTAAAATATTAAAAAATTGTAAACTTACTATGATGTTCAAATTTCCACCTTTCTGTAACCATCCATATAAATCTAAACAATATCAAATCTCCTCAAATCCCACTTTTGTGAAACTTTTAATGAAAAGTTTAACTTTCATTTTACTTATTTAAATAGGACTTAAATAGTAATTTTCAAGGTTTGTTTGTATCATCTCTCCTTAAATTATATTTCATTGGGGAAATTTGACTCTGGGGGAAATCACACTCTATAACTACTATACAGAGTAGGATTTCCCCTCGGAAAATTGACTCTGGTGTGGGATTTCCGTAGGGGAAATCCTACTCTAGAGCCAGTTTTCCTGGGGGGGGGGGGAAATCTTACTCTATAGCCAGTTTTCCGGAGGGAAATTCTACTCTAGAGCCAGTTTTCCGGGGGGAAAGATTTTAGGGGAGAAAGCCTACTCTACAAGACCGGTAACACATTGAGTAGTCAAGAAAGGGCTGATTTACGATGAAAGAAGTCAGCAAAAATAGACCCAAAGTAGGTTATATTTAAAACAAGGTCATTATTACAATTAACCATAGAATCTACAACACGCTGACATTAAATTAGGTTATTAAAATCACTGTAACATAAACTTATCAGAGAATAACATGCTTCTATATGGCAGACTCCGTGCTATTTTTTATTTCAAATTCACTGGACATGGGTTATGTAAAGTTGACAAATGAAGGAAAAAAACCAGTGTTAATTGATGAATAATTTTTTCGGTATTTGAAGCAACTATAAATAATCTAAAACAACTTCAATATCAAATGTGAGCATGGAACAGTGTCTTTGGGATATAATCTTTCAATTTCAGCCTTATAACTAATAAAGAAGTGTATAGGTTTTCTGGTGACAAAATATTGTGACTAAAAACAACAAAAATGTACACATGTAGTAGAATGTCATGCTTTGCGATTCATTCAAACTGATTGGAGAAGGGTTTGACGAAACCTAATACATTAATTTGACCTTGTGTACATGTATCAACTTATAACAATTGTTGTAGTCTAGAATTCATTTTTCATTTTACTTCAACTAAACTATTGGTACATGAAAAGTGTATAATATTCAACAAAGGTAAAATTAGCAATGATGATTTGAAGTTTTATTCTCAGTAATGTAATGCATGTATCAGTAATGTTTTTCCTCATTCACATATTTGAATAACTTTACAACATAACTGAAGAAAAGACTTTTAATACGAATTGCTTAGCATTCAACAGTTAAGACAAAACACATCCTCAGAACATATATGTTTGTATATACAATTTATAGTTCTGTAACAGATCACTAAATTAAAGTAACAAGATGTACATTCCTTTTTCGTACTATTAAACAATTTTCCCTGCTCAACAGTTGACAATTGTAAGACTTCATTTTTTATGCACCAATATTTCTTGCTATATTCATCACAATGTTATGTTGTCTGTCCTAACTATGTTATTTGTCAGTCGTCACTAGGTTAATTTGTCTGTCCTCACTATGTTAAGTTGTCTTTCCTCACTATGTTATGTTGTCTTTCCTCACTTCCATGCTGACTGTTCCTGACATGACATGTTGTCTTTCCCCACAAAGATACGACGTCTGTCCTCACTAAGATGTCTCCATGCTCTGGGGAAGATGATGCCTTTGAATTATTTCCAGTAATCTGAAAATAGGTGAGACATATCAATTTTTGTTTTTAAATGGTATAGCCTCCATGAGCTCTGTCATATATTGGCTTTACGAATGATATTTATGAAGTGCTGAAATGAAAAAGTAAAATTAAAACTTCTTTAAACCTTCTTTGAAATGTTAATTGTCCATGTATTTTCAAAAACAAACTAAAGACCTAGATGTACCAGATACGAATATGAACAGACCCTGTGAAATAACACACATGTAAGTTTATTTTGTTAGCTTACCTATTCTGTGGTAATATGCTGCAAATTTGTTTAAGACCAAAAAAGCCTGGAAAACAAAACAAATGTCAAATATGTTTGCATATACATGTAGTTGATATAAATTATGCAGGAAAAATCCTTTTATAAAGAGGTTTTTCTGACAATGCTAAAAAAACCTTTATAACAATGCATAAGAAGTTTGAAGAAAGTTATTCTATCTCTTATCAACAATAATCAGTTAAGTACCTTTTTCTTCTTTCAGACTTCCTGTCACCATGGCAACCTGAATAACTTGTCCAATCTTTTCAATCAACAGATGCAGAGTTTCTTCATTCCTGCATCCTTTATTGAGCTGCATTAAAGCCTGGGACAGGGACACAATATGGGGCATATAGAAGAGAGCCTGGTTCAGTTCCAGGCTTTTATAAGCTAACAGACTCTGAAGAATTCCAAAATGGAGCTTAGAGAGCAGTCCCAGAACTTCAGTCTTTTCTGATTCATTGGTCACCTGACATTGTGTGTATAAGTGTCCCAGAATGCACCACTGAACGAGGCCCATAAAGGGGCAGGAGAAGTTCGCCTGTATACGTGACAAACGGACGGACTCTGAACACAGGCAGGGATCAGAGGAGACCCACTCAGTGATGTACCGGAGTAGCGACAAGGGGGGAGGCTTCTGGAAAGCTACAACAATTAAAGTTTAATTATTAATTAATTACACTCATAATTTAAATATTTTGCTGCAATACAACAGAAAACATTAACTGAGAAAAACTCAGACCTGTAGTGACATTATCTTACCGTTCCCGTCAAACGGGTAGATGGTGGCCACAGCTGTGATGAAGTTACAGGTGAAGAGGGGGGAGATTTTAGGGAGGTTTTGGAACGTCTTGCTGACCTCAGGGAACAGAATGCAGTAGTCCTCCACCAGGCTGTGGGAAAGGTCACAGGCAGCCTTACTGTGGCATCCATGCTCCTAAAAGTCAGAATTTTACATTGTTAAACAAAATCTGAATAACATACTGTAAACCAACTATTATTCATGTCATCTTGTATTCCCGAATCTTCAGTTTGAAATCACTCTGTGAAAATTTATTTACGCAATATCAACTACAAATACAAGCCAAAATAAATGGTTTGTAGCGACAAATATTTGTGAGTTAGAATAGGTTGCGAAACTCGCAGATATTTCTCACATAAAAGTTGGTTTACTGTAATCAGTTTATGGCTACAAGTATCAGGGCTTAATGCATCCAGGTCCAGTGAAAGAAACTTCTTATAGAAAATTAACCCTTTTTTTCCCTTTTTGTTAAGAAAATTATTTTTTTAACATTATACAAAAAATAACTTAATAGTTTAATGATTCATAATGATGAAAATATTAGGATATAAGCCTTAAATCTAACTCATTTTTCAATACATTTAGTAAAATTAAATATTAGACACAAATATATTAAATTTTGTCAGTTCTTGATTTGAGTGTCATCAATATAAACACTTTGTTTACTCATGCTGCAAAGCCCAGGCTGACAGCACTAGATAGAATAAAACTTTCTGAATAGGGATATTTTACTTTCCATTGGTTCCAGTGGTTTTCCATTTCCTGTAGTGTCTCAGAAATTTTACACAACGTTGAAAAATTGCATACCTCAATAACAAATCAATGAAGTAGTTCCAATAATTTCAAGTTGTCTTAATGAAAATGTTGTGTCTGATGATGTTTCAACACTTGTACATGTATTACCTGCATCCACAAAGCAGCGCAATCCAACACAGAACTCACACTGACTGATAAGGCCATGGACACCAGTTTGGTCAGTAGAATAATTTTGTACGCCTCAGGGGAACCTCCAAAAATGGCATTAAATATACTGTATCTCGATCCCTCATTGGCCTCACTTAGACAACTGCTCAACATTTCTAGAAGCTGAAGCTCCTGCACTGCGTTCAATTTCTGTCCCAAAAAAAAATAATGTTAGGTTATCTTTAAATAATGTCTGCTTGCCCTCTCCAGACTCAGGGTAAAATTACTGGGTCGGTAGGTAGGTGGGAAATTTGTTTTCCAGAAAATTTCAACAAGTATGTTGACGGGATAATAGGTCCTGGAATGTTAAAAAAAGTTTTGAGTCAGGTCTTTTTTAGTCAGTCCGTTGGGAGAGGGCAATCAAACAATTTTTTAAAGATGGCCTAAAAAAGTTTTGAGTTGGGCCTTGTTTAGTTAGTGGGTTGGGAGTGGGCAACCAAACATTTTTTTAAAGATGGCCTTATATGTGCTCATAAGGAAACACATCAAGTGAATTATAAAAATAAACTTTAGTGAAACCTCATCATCTCGAAATCCGTGGGACTAAGGAAAAACTTTGAGATATCAAAGGATTCAAGATATCCAGGTAAAATACATGTACTTCAAGAATTAGTTGTAAGGATTTTAATTGAGATCTCCATGTGGCTCAAGATATTGGTGTTCGAAAAAACCAAAATTCAACTAAACATGCTAAATATCCATTATTGCAAATTACAAAATATTTCCTTTATTTTTATAATTGAGCAAAAGTATATGAGTGTTTTATTTTATACAAGGTCCTCTTAATTTGTGCATGTTGTGGGCTATTTTCATTTTTGCAAGAAGCACAGATTTATACTGTTTTTTATGTGCACAACTTCACAGCTGCACTGCTTAAATTTATAAGGCATACCATTGAAATATTTTTACAGTGGTCGTAAGGGATATCCAAAATATTTTCCATATCTTCTTTAAAAACAAAATGCCTTTGGTCAAAGTCATACTCAAAGAATGCACGTGCATGAGCAAATGCAAAGTAAAACAGTAAAATTGAATGAACAGTCAGTTTTACCTGTGTTCCTCGCCGAGAAGATGAATTAAAGTAGATGTATTCGTGACAGACTTCATAAGCCCAGTTTTCCGAGGCTGACTCCAGACCAGGTATAGAGAGTCCATGATGGTGTGTTGAGCCGTCTGAATAACATGAAGCTACGTACTGCAGGGCTTGTCGAGAGTTCTCCGGGAAGTCCAGATAACTTAGTTTCTTTAGGATTTTTGACATTATCTGGGGAGGAAAGGTAAAGAATCGATATGTACTTTATCAACTGAAAAAGTCCTGGCAGATTCAATGTTTGAAAAAAAATTCTTTAGGTTCAAAATGACTACAATTGTCATCGGATAAATTATTTTTAGTTAACTTTGCTCCAAATTAAATCATTGTATCAAAAGAACAAAGTACTAGTTATAACATGATCTAAGACTTCAAGATGCATTTCCGTTATTTATTAAGAATATACAGTACTTGTACAGGCACCTGTATTTTTATCAATCAATCGCTCAATATGCCAAATATCGAAAAATTCTACCCCCTCTATATATATGTATATACACAAGGTATATTTATTATAGAAATAGATAGATCGTTCTATCGTTAAAATGATAAATGTCCTACGGACCCGGTGTGGTGAGGGCTTGTCCCGAGACACAGATTATTCTAACTACTATAGAGAGAGGTAGAATTTTTAGATATTTGGCATATTGAGCGACTGATTGATAAAAATTCCGGTGCCTGTGTTACTTGCCAGAATATTACCTTTTACATGCATGGAATGAATTTTCTTTATGAACTCATCAAAATAAATTCATGAATTTAATATACTGGAAATGCTTAAAGCACTGTAAAAGTAGAGTCTGGGTAAGAAAATATTCTTCCGGATTTCTGTTGTCTTAAATATAACAGATGGACTTCAAATGTTTTAGTTAATTTACTTGAAGTAAGCCTATATAACGTTTGTCAGTTAATCACCACAACGATTCTTAATTTTTTATGGATGTAAAAAAAAAAAAACAAACAAAAACAAAACAAAAAAAAAAAAGATTTTTCTGTAGAATTTGAGTAACCACTTTTGTGCACCAACTTTGTAGAATAATTATCGGCGTTTGTTATAGAATATACGAAATATGAACTTGTTTTTATTTCTTGCAAAATGAACTTGCTTGATAAAGAGTGTAACCTCCTAAACAAATTAAAATACATTTTTTGTCTTTTTTCTGTCTCGATCTCTTTTCTCTATTTTTCAGAAAATTTATCTCAGTTCTTGCAAGGAATAAATCTTACTATGTGATATATGTAAAATGTAATATTGTAGGTTAAAAAAATGGTACTACAGTAAGTTTGCATTGAAAAAAGTTGGCTTATACATATATACGTATAAGTGTATGTATCTATACTTAATGTAGGATTCTTTTCTGGTTTCTGACTAGACGAAACATTCAAAGAATATTTGCTTATATGTATTATATATTTAGGTGTAAGAGATTTAAAAGACCATATTTTTCTTTCCTCATCACAATTGTACAACTTTAAACAGAAATGGTAAAGTGCGTTTGAAAACTAGCAGGGACTATATTTTTGGCGGAATGGTGACGTATGAAAATATCTTCTTTTCTGCCTCTCAATATTATAATAGAACAATGAATTTAGTTATAATTTTTACACAATCGAAGACTCGGAGAAATTTTCAAATGTAAATTAAATTAATAATAAGGGACTTAAACTTTCAAAATATATCAAATAAATATGATTTTCAAACAAACTAGAACTATGTTAACTTTAAAACGCTTCCTATCAAAATGCAGATTTGAGCCAAAAATCCATAAAAAGTATTTTTTCTCTCTTAGTAAACGATCAAAACTTTTTGTTTTTGCATCATTTTGTGCATTTATAAGACTTCTTTATTTTATGTGAAAATAAGAAAAAGTTTAAATATAGGAAGCATATAAAAATAACTAATATATGCTAAAAAATTAAGAAAAACAGAGAAAATTAGTCAATATCCAGTTTAGTTAAATCATTTATGTAAATTTGGTAATCATGCTATAGACCCGATATAGTAATATCTTTTCATGCAAAAAGAACAATCTCTAAACTTTTGAAATAGAAGTAGGCATCACATGATTGGCAACAGTATTTTTTTATTCTTAATGTCAAGGAAAAAAGATAATGACCTTGACCTGACCTTGCCTCTAATATGCCTCAAATTTGATCTCACTGATACTATCATTTACTGATATTGTCTTCTTGATTCTGTGAAAATTTCATTAATTTTTAAACACAAGAAATATGAGAAGAATCCTACCTTAAGGTAATATTACACTCACTTTTACTCAAAATGAGGTTGTCTGCTAACTAAATTTCAAAAGCTTATAGGGTGTTCACTCCCAGGGGCATAGCCCCTACGGATAGGGTTTTGGACCAGATAAGAGTGGCGGTGGTCTGCATTATATGCTTTCCACCTAATTGCACTTCCCCTTATACTTAGTTTAACTTCTGGGCCTAAATAAGGAAAATCAAAATCACAAAACATTGCAAATTGAATTTCTATTGTCAGTTTTAATGTGTATGATTGACAATTATCTCTTCAACAGTTTCTTAGTACTTGAGCTAAAATGTAAAATGATGGAAGAATGAGCCACATGAAAAATAACGTATTCCCCTAGCATATTGTTTTGGCAAAATTTGAGAGACATACTATATTCTTTCAGGTTGAAAGTATAATATGGAAGAGATGTCAAAATTCATCTTTTCAAAAAGAATTTTTAAAAATACATCTGCATGACAGGGTTTTACACTATACATATGCTATTGCAACAAAAAGGTTTTCTTAATCAAAAGGCCTGCAACCAACCATTTAATAAACAACAAGTCTGTGAGTCAATGCTCACTAGTAATAAAATATCCCCGCTCTGATGTGAATATAGACTATCATGTTGATATACACAAGTTCACTTACAGACAGACATACGGATAAAGAGGAAGTCAACATCGGATTTGAACAAAAATGGATCCTACCAAATGGCATGCGTCAGCAAAGAGTGTGCTAAAATTTCAAGCATCTGCCATGAGTAGTTCTGGGAAAACTGCAACTAAAATTTGTTATGTATGGTACGGACAGACACACAAATAAACAGGAAGTTGACATCAAATTTACAGTCAAATTTACCCACCATATGGCATGCTTTAGCAAAGACTGCTAAAATTTCAAGCATCATCAATGAATAGTTCCTGAGAAAACTGCGACCAAAAATTCGTTACATAGAGACACACAGACAGATAGACAGACGGACGGACAGGCACACAAAGGTAAATCACTATAACCCCCCCCCCTCTCCTTCGTAGCGGTGGTATGATAATTCCGTACTACAAAGGAACAGCAAAAGATCATTTCAACAACAGCAAAAACAAGTTGAATGGAGGAGGGGGTGCACTCTTGACTATGTGCTTGTCTTACTTAAACTAAGAAGTGCATGTGCATCTTAAAACATTTGTATATATATCAATTAATAAAGCAAGTTGCTTCAAAAAGATCGGTCATGGTTTTATATAGGTACTTGTTGATTCTATTAAACTGAAGAAAATAAATCATGCACTGAGGCCACTAATGATGATGTCAATAATTATAGTGATTTTCCCTGCCTCTTTGGTTTCTATAGTAACACATTATTTTTAATTAATTAATGAACTTACATTTTTTATCATAATATATTAAATTGACGAGGTTTATTTATGTGATTTGTTTTACTTTTGATTTCTTAAGAGCATAATGTACAAAAAGGAGATAAATGTTGAATTCTACAAATAAATCCAATTTCTCCATAGCAACCATTTTCGTTTTAATTTTATTTTATTTTAAGAAATAAGACCTCTCTAGAAATTTTATATTTTGTTAAGTAAGGAATGAACTTTACAGTGATGGTAGTTGTTTGTTATGGATTGCCCGCGTTTTCTTGCTACTTTGCTTAGAAAATGCCAAAAATTGGCATTTTTTCACATTTGTTAAAATTTTAAAAATTCACACTTTTCACTGAAAGACAACTGTTTCATAACCTACATGTACTAATGAATAATATCATCAGTTGTGGTAGTTACTCCAACAAATAGTCTATCAGAGTAGGCAACAATTAAATCTGTAAAGAATATGTAGAAAATAGAAATTTATGATGAAGATGGTATACTTTCAGTAGGTTGCTCTGTATTTTTGGCCTCAAAATGGTGGTTTTGGCTGCCATGGCAACCGGAACTCAAGCTAAAATAATGACCCCCAAAATGCTCCATACATGGTGTTTCTACATTGCATGCAAAATTTCAGCCAAATCTGCAATGTGCCATTTCCAACATATTTCTGAATTCTTTGATACTTACAGAGAATGACTCTTAAATTGTTTATATAAATTGTTTAGTTTATATAAAAGTGTGCATTACTTTTTTTTTTATATTTTAATTATAATTTTTAAAACATCTATGAATATAATACAGATTTATAACATACTTTACATCTTTATTAAACAGCATCATTATGCAAATTCTTTGCACAACACAGGCTTACATGTTGCTGAGAGGTTTCACTGTCCAATTGAATGACACCAATACAATTTAAGCGCGCTCGATAGAAAGATTTATTAACATTTTCATTTCATATAAACAACAACTACATCTATAAAAAGAAAACAGAATTGTTACTATGAAAACATAAAATTTTCTCACTCAATTCGCATATGAATGACGGTAGGTAAATCTTGTGTCAAAATTACTCGATTTGACATTAGAATAAAAAAATGACCCCTAAGCGAGTAAAGTACATGTTCACAAAAAATTCCATCATATAAACTGAACAAAAGTCAACAGGAAACCTGCACATATAGCTTGAGAGGAAATGGTCAAAAATTTGAAGTTCATAGGAGAACCCTCCATGATACCTGATCCTACTCCTACATGACACCTGATCTCTCGATGACACCTGATCCCACTCCTACATAACTCCTAATCTCACTCCTACATGACACCTGATCTCTGTCCTACAAGACACCTAATCTCACTCCTCCATGACACCTGAATATCACCTACATGACACCTGATCCCACTCCTCTATGACACCTGATCCCACTTCTACATGACACCTGATCTCATTCCTACATGACACCTGATCTCACCTACATGACACCTGATCCTACTCCTCCATGACACCTGATCTCACTCCTACATGACACCTGATCTCACTCCTCCATGACACCTTATTTCACTCCTTCATGCCACCTGATCCCACTCCTCCAAGACACTTTATTCTACTCCTACATGACACCTGATCCCACTCCTACATGACACCTGATCTCACTCCTACATGACACCTGATCTCACTCCTACATGACACCTGATCCCACTCCTACATGAAACCTGATTCCACTCCTACATGACACCTGATCCCATTCCTACATGACACCTGATCTCACTCCTCCATGACACCTGATCTCACTCCTCCATGATACCTGATTCCACTCATACATGACATCTGAGCCTACTCCTACATGACACCTGATCTCACTCCTCCATGACACCTGATCTCACTCCTCCATGACACCTGATCTCACTCCTCCATGACACCTGATCCCACTCCTCCATGATACCTGATCCTACTCCTCCATGACACCTGATCTCACTCCTTCATGACACCTAATCTCACTCCTCCATGACAATTGATCACACTCCTACATGATACCTAATTCCACTCCTACATAACACCTGATCCTACTCCTCTATGACACTGATTCCACTCCTCCATGACACCTGATTCCACTCCTCCATGACACCAGATCCCACTCCTCCATGACACCTGATTCCTC